TTTTACACTCTAATGTCCTCCAGTGGAAGCATGTACACAGAAAACTACAGCATTTTATAGCACTGATCAATCCGATCCAAAGGCTCTCTGGGAACTTTTATAGCGACCAGTGCAGATTAGAGGGCGCACCAGACTTTTTTATTGTTCTCCCTGGCTCCCTTTAGAGAGCGGTGGACGCTTACGAATGCAGATCAAACTGTCCTCGGGGCGGGGGGGCAACACGCTTGACGTCTGGAAAACACTGGCCTTCCCCTTTAAGATGGAATGGCTTCTAAAGGCTTTGTGAATCTGGCCCCAGGGAAGAGGGGGAGAGGCCGGCTCATGGAGCAGGGCAAAGACGATGGAGGGGAGATGGAGAGAAGCAGAAAACATGCTTCAGATGTGTGTAATACTATGCTGTACTGCTGTATTGTTAGTATTTGGTGCAGGTTTGTGATAAGAAGCAAACATTACAGGATATTTACTTCTAAGGAAACTATACTTAACCAGATTTGAATACCTATAGCCATTTTCAGACATAACTAATTTATCGTTCACACATTCAGAACGCAGCCACGAGTCCAACACCTTCACAACAACAGGAAAATGTCCGCAACACTCAGATGTGGGGTGGCGTCAAAACCATGCAGGAAGTAGGACACAGTATATAAATACTGCTGGAATCACATGTTTTTGTTTTAGTCAACACTCGGCTCAGGTACCGGTCACATCCAAATTAGTTCTGTAACATTTCCAATATCACGAATTTGGTGTCAAACTGTGATTTCTTTTCCAGAAAATGTAATTTCACCACCCGAGTAGACCCGTATTGTAAAAAAAATGGTACAGTAGGTGGCGCAATGCAGCTAAATGTTTTCTGGGATCCGCCAGCAAACCGACAGAAGAAAATACCAAAGTACAAACAGTAAACAAGAACCTTTTCTCCAGCTATCACTTAACCTGGGTGGCAGGAAATGTTTTGGAAAATGTCCCAAGCAACTTACTCTGACATTTGTATTCTCAAACCCGTATGAACTGTATGTCTGAAAACAGCTTATGTAACAGAGGACAAAGCACAATGTGCACAAATACATGGCCAGGAGAAACAGCCAACCACCTCTTTCTCTCCCCCACTCATCCTCTCTCCTCTTTTTTCACTGTCATCATATAGGTACCCATGGGAGGGCAGACCACCTGGTAACCATGGTTACAGGGGCAGAATGCCCCTCGTGAGAACACATCCACACATCGTCTCTCCTACACATTTGCACAAATACTTCACATCCTGTACTTGGTGCAGATACCAAATATGAAGACAGACCGGCCCATTGTCCTGAAGTCTGTGGTGGTTCCAGGAAAAAAAAGGGTTTGGTGCTTCCCAGCCGGTGTTAGTGGTTGTGAAGTGACTCATGGATACCTTGAGGTTATCACGTCCCCACCTCTGTATCCACCACATCAGTTTATAACGTCGCAATTATGGTGACATAGTTCATTTTGTTAGAAGACAAGAGAAGAGAAGGCTGTGATTACATTTACATTATTGACGTTGTGGGACCTGGATATGTCTGGGGAGACAGAGATCGGAGGAAGGGCAGTTGAAGAAGGGACTGCGCTGCTCCGAGGAGAGAAAAAATCAATCGGTTTAATCTCGGTGAATTCCAGAGGAAGGGAGGGTGAGAGATGACTAAACGAAGGAAGAGGACAGAAAGAGACGGGGGACGAATTCTCCTCCTGCAAAATAATAACTAACAAAGTGTCTTTAATAGCATCTGTGACATGTGCAAATTATCTCGCTTAATAAAACTTAACTTAATAAAAAAGTCATCTTGCATCTACTCAACTGTTCATCTTATCAGCTTCACACTTCACATGCTTTTTGTTAACGGCCCAAGTGAAGTGAAGCGTTGAAGTTTGTGCGATTTGGAGAAATATTAAAACAATTTGAAACAGGCAGTAGTCTGGGGGGTGGGGCTATGGACTGAGTTGAACATGTCGACGTCGTTAGAATCTGACTCTACACTTCCTGACATGGAACAGGAAGTGTAGCCTTATATGGTGTTAATGGGGCGTTAATTATACTAACCCTCATATAGTGGTATACTGAAGTTTAAAGTGAATCTGACGTGGGATGTTCGTACACAATGTAAGAGAAGTTTAGAAAAGTGTACGAAAATATTCTTGCATGAAGAGAGAATACAGTGTTTTTAGTTTTCTTCCCAACCTGCTCACATCCGCCGCCCAGAGATAAAAAAAAAAAATGTGTGTGTGTGTTAAAGAAAACAGAGGGTCAATGATAAAGACGTTAAAAGTCAAGAAGCAGAACGCTACTGGATCCACTTCAGTCAGTCAGACAGAACGAGGCCATCTATAAAACTCACTGGATTACAGAGCACTGCTCGAAAACACACATGCACACTGACATCTTACAAATAAAGCACATGTCAGACACACACCCACAAAAAAAGGACCATAAACATTAATCTGTGCATCACTCTTACAGGCAAAGCATTTTTTCTTCTGCTCGTCCTCGTCTTGAATCATAATCTCTAGATTTCAGTGATTCACATATAGAGCAGTGGTTTGTCTGCAGGATTCTAAAGAGACAGAGCATAGATCTGCAGATTCAGTGGCAGATCTTTCAGAGAAATGTGATTGGCTGCATTTATTCATTTGATGGCATTTTATTCTTGCATTAACTATTGATTTAATGTTGCCCACATGCATAAAAAACAAATAATTCTGATAAAAATGTCACGCCGTGCACTGTACCTCCATGATTTGTGCGGTGTGCTTGATACTTTTTCAGCTTCAGTGCACGTGAGGCTCGTTTATATGCATAGAGATGCCAACGAGCAGATAGACGTGCAGAAAATCTGATTTTGGCGCTCTTTATTGTGATTCTTTCTTCAGGAATTCATTGCCACTTGAGAGACACGATCCCAAGGCGCCGCCACCAGCTCGCTAAATCATAACCAGCAATTTTCTCCGCAAATAGCCAATGTACAGGTTTTGAGCCGAGAGGGAGGCGTGAGCTTCTGCCGACCTGACACATCAAGGTTAGTGGAAAGGGTATGACGAATGTACCAACGGATACCTGACTCCTAGAGCTGGGAAATAAGAGTGTGATAAAGGGCGAGAAACATTTCAGAGTAAATATGCCAAGGAGAGGTGTTGGAAATGTCATGTCTTGTAGAATGAACACACCTTCCCACAAGCCATCTGTGTTTTAAGAATAATATGAATGTGCAAATAAAAGTTCAGCCTTTAGAGGACATATTCTGCTTTTTCAGTTTTTCTTTCCTCTGGTGTGTTATGTGTTTGTGTATGTAAAAGTTCTGCAAAGTTAAAAAGCCCACGGGGGAGCTCCTCCCCTCCACAGAAAACACTCAGGGCTCCTGAAACACCTCGTCAGTAGTCCGGCCACGCCCCCTAACAGAAGTCAGGTAAAACGAGGGCGGAGGCTGATATTTCCTTCATGCCCTGGAGACCGTTGACCAATCACACCAGAGTGGGTCAGCTGACCAATCGGAGCAGACAGGGCTTCATCAGAAAGGGGAGTCTTTAAAGAGACAGGAGCTAAAACCAAGTGTTTCTGACAGAGGCTGAAAAGAGGAGCTGCAGCAACGGACAGTTTGAGGAAAGAGACGTGTTTTCTGAACATTGGAGAATGAAAACCTTGATATGAGAAGAATATGTGTGATTAATTAATTAATGACGGTGAGAAAATGGTGTATGATTGATGGGTGTGACAAATGAAGTCAAATTAATAATCAAGAGTTTTATTTATCATCGTCTAATTTACAGTGTTTCCTTACGTTTGTGAAAGCAAATGTCCAGTGGCCCAGTGCTGCTGCGGAGCCTGCTGCAGTTCAGCATCATAATGAATTAACAAGCTACAGTGTAGTCATGCTTTACATCGGGGAACTCCAGCAGTGATGAGGACAGTAGTTTCCCCTCGACAGTGACCTTTGACCCCGTTACATCCTGACCTGGGGGCAGAGATCCCATCGCTCCATGACATCAGAGAGCGACGCGATCTATCATCATGGGTAACAAGGTGATGATGCAGAAGAGTTTCAAAACTAGACCACTTCCAACGACGGAAGCCATTCTGCACAACCACCACCACACAAAGCATCAATGACAAATACTGCTATGACATTTATGATGTTATTGATTTGACCTGGAGCTAATTGGCTCGGGTCGCCACCAGTGTGACCGCAGCAGCTCCGGTCGCATACTTTGGTGTCATGGAAAGTTCCGTCACCATAAAGGTGTTGGGGGTCTGACGTGTTAATCAACCTATGTGTTTTTCCAGCTAAAGATAAACACAAACATTGAGTGTAAAGCACAGAGAGGAGCGTGTGGCTGCAGCAGTTCAGCCTTTCAGGACATTGATATTCAACAGCAGAGCTGGATCTGTTTGCTCTTAATTTTTGCAAACACGGTCACTACAGCAGATAAAACACGAGCTGTACAAGAACCAGAACGAGTTTGAACCTGATTACAGAATTAGCTTCTTGCTATAAGCAATGGAGTCATGCATTGAGGTGATTATCGCTAAAAGGACTGATTTGTTTTAGATAATTCTGTAGTTGTGTTTTTAACTACAGCTACAGATGTGGAGACATTTCAGTAATTTCCACGATGTGTTACTTGTTTAGTTGTATGTTGTTCTATCCATCCTCAAAAACATCTAATTCCCAATGAGAACATGAACTTGACCAAGAAAGCTCATTCTTGTCAAAGTTGATTAACACCTCCCCACTGTGGGATGGCCTGAAGGCTCCTGGGGTCCCCCCCGATCTCTCTGCGTCAGACGTGTATTATTTATAAGCAGAAGCCCAGTGAATAAAAATACTTATAGTTTATTTTTTGTTTTTAGGACAACCTGGTTGTTAGAGCATTCTTTATTTATCCCGGCTGAGGGAAAATAAACTGCTGAGAGCAGCAGAAAGAGATGGAAAAGTGTGTCTGTGTGTGTCTGTGACTGTGTGTGTGTGTCTGTGTGTTAGACTCACCATCCTCCTTGCCAGATGCTTCGCAGCCATCTTCATCATCGCAGTCGCTCCCACTGCCCAGCTCGTTCTGTGCGCTCCCTCCCTCCTCTTCCTCCGCTCTTCCTCTGGTTTTACTCGCCCAGCCGAGCTCCACTAACAGCTCCTAAACACACAAACACACACATTTAAAAACACGTCTCACACACAAATTGAATAAAAAGATGTTTCCCCCGTTTCAAGTCTTCAGGCTAAGCTCGGCCCACGAGCTAACGCTTCCTGGGGAGAGGTGGACCAAGATTAAGAGTGGTTTTTATCTTCTCATCCAACTCTCAGCAAGAAAGTTTGTCCACTAAAATCTAAAGATTTCAAGCTGCCACAACAAAAGCCTGTGATCACAAACACAGAAACACTGACCAACAACAAAAATACACAGACACACACTCAGGTCAGCAGGCAGACTAAAGGGTAATTGAGGTCACAATGTCTCTGTGTGAATCCATACTCTGTTACTGCTGAGTTAAGTCACAGCTTGGATGCTGTAGCATGTTACATCATTACCCCAGAAATGGAAATATTACATCCTGTAAAAACATCCAAAACATCAACGTATAATTAAAAAAAAAAAATGCAAATATGTTGAATAAGAGTTTTATTTAAATCCAGGTTTGTGGAATCTTACAAAAAAATTTAACATTTTGTCAAAGTTTGAAACTAAAAACAAAAGTGGAGTTATTGGTGATTCACTTAAACACAGCGACAGCAACACATAATTGGTTCCCAGCATGATGAATGTGTTACTGTAGAGAGTTAAGGTGGGTGATACATAAATTCCAGCTGAAGTCAGTGATAAGGCAAATAGCCACAAGTTTTTTTTAAAAGGAAGAAGATGTATTATACTGACATTTATGTTATTTTATTTTGCCGGGAGATAAAGTTTTTATATATACAGAGAGGGAGATGTCACAGAAGTTTTCTAACGTCTTTATTAGTGATTTATTTTACCTCAAACAGAGGATTTAATTATTAGAACCATTGTGTTAGATCTCATTGTCATTCAGGAAAAGGGCCGTTAGACAAAATCCTTTACTAAAATACAACTGCATAGCAAATCTAATCTTTTTAACAAATAAGCTGCCAGTATAAACTCTGGATAATGTCCAAGTGAGATATACATGAGGATAAAGTCCAAAAAATAACCACGAGCGAGCGAGTGGGTGTGATAGTGACATTTCTGACATGTGGCACAAAAATGCAAAAGACGAAGAAAAAAAAAGTAGTATCCAGGATGAAAAAGAGACGAGTATTAACGGCTCTAATTTATGTGCATGTTACCACAACACAATCAGCTGTTCTGCTGCTTCACTGTTGACAATCCAGGAAAGAACCAAACAGAAAATGGATCTAAAACTGGCAAAGACCTCCACCGATTGCTTTTTTTTCACGTAAAATACCGAGCAGGGATTCCTTCTTCCTAATGTTAATGGTTTAATTCACTGCCAGAGATGGCTGGTGGACATAAGGGCGGACATCTGGCCTCTGCCGTACAGTAGGTGAGGGGCAGCCATGGAAACAAGGGTAACCAAGGTTATTATCCGACAGCGTGTCCGCGGGGACGCGGAGACAGACACTGTGTGGTGATTCACCATCGTGTCGTTCGACTGCAAATGAGGGCTGAGGGAGGAGACAAATACATTACAGCCATGTTTCCACCTGGGCTGTGTTTCCTTAATCAAGTGGAAAGGTTCGGATATAAACAGATATTGGGGTCGAGGTGTTGCTTCATTAACCACAGCAGTTATTGTTGTTTTTCTTTTAGCAGCATTACACAAAAACTACTGAACAGATTCACATGAAGCCTGGAAACATGAGACGTGCCAGGAATAAAAACTTCTTAAATGTTGGTTCATATCAGAACAAAAGAGATCCAGGATTTTTTTCCTAATTCAACAATGCTATTTATTTAATTTGACATTTTCACAGCTCTCCAGGGGAATCATTTGTGGATCTTAGATGAAATAAACACACATTTAAGGGAGTGATATCTCTGAGTGTGTCTAATTTGTGCAGCTTGATTGAATTCGAGGACTCTTGTGCATTAGCAGAGGTAGGAGCTGTATTCAGGGCCATTCTTGGCATCTTGTTTTACAAATCATAGAATAATAGATTAAGTCCAACGACAGCAATCTTGAAATTGAATGTTTCTCAAATTTGTTTTTACATTATCTGCATTACTTGTTGAGTAATTTCCATTCGATTACTGCACCCTGCCAAGAAACTAGATTAATAATATTTTACAGGCGAAACAAAGTTGCAGCGTTCTAGCTGAGTCGTGCTCAGCCGTGTTGTCATTTACCGTCACTTCAGAGAAAAAAGGTGGATGAGTAATGCTGCGTCCACGGCCCTCTCAGGGTTGATTAGGCTCTTCCTGATTGGCTGAGCGTGTTCATAGAAATTTTAATTGCCCCATTAGTGGGCGAAGCCTGCGTGAAACATAACCCACTGCTGCAAAGGTCTAATTAACATGTAATACAAATTAGGACAGTGAGAGATAAGAGGAGATGGAGAGAAGATTTAAATTCCAAGGATGCTTCTTTGTTCCGTTTCACATTTTCTCCCTCATCTCATCGTGGGAGTACGAGAGTGTAAAAGGCGAACATGACTGTCGAGAATCGTAATTAATAAATGGAGAGCGTTAATGTGCCTCGGATGAACAGCTTCCCCCGCCGAGAAACCCCTGATGAAGCAACTCGCATGAAGGAAGCACAGAGCCTGTCTCAGACTTCCAGAAGTGACGGTTAACTAAGATTTGTTTGTGTGCACAGACCTGAATCTATCTTTTTATCCATCTATCTATCCCAGAAATCTGGATGTATATGGAAAGCATATCTTTATGCATGTTTTATTTTGAAAAGTTGCGAACTTATACAAAATCTGAGCAAAAAAAAAAAAAGAATCCTGATCGGTGGCACACATCAGCTTTATTTCAAATAAACCTGGTAGGATGAACACTAAGTTTTCTACCTTCACTCTCTGACAGACTGTTTATGTAACCTACGTTCAGCACACACAGAAAAGAGTGACAGGATATTGCGGAACAGTTTGAGGATGACTCACTAACGACATGGAATAACTCTGAAGTAGCTGCGGAGAAGTAACACAGAACAAGAGATCAGAACATTCCAAACAGGAAAGAAGCATAAAACACAGTTTGCAATGCAGATGAGCTGTTATATCTGGTTCATGCTGTGGCCTGGGAGCATAACAATCTACCTCACGTGAATTACAAATCCAAAACACTGATCTTTGCAATCCTCAGTGTTTGAGCATGTGTTGGTGCACCCGTGATCTTTAAGATTTGACTTTCTTTTTAAATCGACCGGACACGCACACGTTACGTTGAATTAATGGGGCCGGAGAAAGCAGATCCTGCACATAAATGATTACAGGGCTCATGTGTAGCGTGTGTTTGTGAACATGGCACGAGGGGATGCTGACTCTGCACATCCTCCATGTAAATGTAACGTGATTAATGGACCCAGGGTCTAAATTAGATGAAGCACCAAGAGCTTCTACAGCAAACCAGAACTATAACCCAAGTCCCATCTCGTGATTTTACATAAATATTCCATTACAACCAAAAACACGCATGTAAACAGAATTCATCAGGTTTTTCTTCACCGAGTGATTTTTACTCTCGAGCTTGCAACAGAGCACTGATCTGGTTTGACATCAAAACATATTTTCCTCATCAACATGCCTGACGAGTCAGTTTGGATGGAGCCTGGAAAGATCCAGATACATTTCGGATTGAATGCGAATAAAAGGATATTGATTTTTATATTTCTACAATAAGGACGAGACGATTGCATGTTGGATTGTTTGGCCTCGGCGTGTTCATTTCATGGTTACGGCTAATTTGGTTTTACAGTAGAATTTGTTGAAACAATAATAAATATCTTGTCCTGCAGTGAAACACTCATGGTTCTGAATGATGAATTATTGTGAACAACCCTGATCACAGATTACCTTCATGTGATTTTATGAATCACCACATTACCACAATGGCCCGAGCTTTGAAGGTGCTGCATAAATCTGGTTTAATTGATGAATAATTCATTTGCTATTGCATGTTATTAGCCACATCTGCTGCTGACATTTTAACTTTATTGGATTAGGCAGCGCTGCGCATAAGAGGTTGAGGAAAACGACAAACACACGTTACCCAGCAGACCCCTGCAGCGAGCTTCAGCAGCTGTATTACACCTACATCACACTTTAGACATTAATATTTTATTGTTATAATAACATCCGAAGATCAAACCAACAATAGCATCATTATTTGGATATGAATAATTCTATCCAGTAGCATCGTTCCTGCAGAATTCTAACCAGCTCCATATCATGGTCAAGGTGAGCACAGGAGATATTAATGCTCTGTAGCAGAGACGTACCCAAAACACAGGTTTACAGCAGAGGCTGTGGTGAATATCCAGCGTAATGACACCAATAACTTATGTTTACATTTGTCGTCCGAGTGCTCAATGTACGGTAACTTAAGAAAATCATGCAAAACAAGAAAACGTCAAATGAAATCGCTGCTTATACAAACACATCTATATAATAACTCAACAAATCTCTATGTGGCTCAAATATCACGAGAACCAGTCATCATATCAACTCCTCACTGGGCATGTGTATCGATAAGGATCCATGGACGTGCATTGTTAAGTTTGGTGCAACTTGGACAAGTGTTTTTACCTGTGTGAGCTGCTCCAGCCTCTGTTTGGCCCCCTTCAGGACAGGGTCTGTATTACGGACGGTCATCTCTGGGTTTTCCCTTTGGGCCTTTAAAGTGCTGCCGACCACACGACCTGCATAACTACAGAATGAGAGAAAGTGAGAAGCACTGGTACGTCCCGTGTGTGTGTGTGTTTGTGTTTTGACATTTTTACTGAATTCTTGATTCTATTTTATTCTTCAAATGCAAAAAATATTCTTTTGTCTAATTTACTTTCAAGTTTGTAAGAATTCGTCGCTTAAGAGTAAAATTACTGTATCGTTTCTTCCTGCTTTAATTGTGCTGAGTGCATTTACTGCCAATTAAAACTTTACATACAATAAAATTTGGTTTATGGGGTCTTTAATATCTACTGCGCAACAACTGTGTCTAAGGAAGAATCTGCAATGAAAGTGTTTTCACTTTACTTTTGAGCAACATCACAAACGCATGACTTTATAATTTTCTTTAGTTCTGCGTTCCAAATAACTTGAATATAACGAGTTCATACAAAACTTTTTAAAGATGATTGATTGGGTGGAGCAGTGGAAAGCAAAAGTAATCACTGAAAGAAAATACAGGGATGGTTCCTTCTGTCGTCAACTTTAAGTCAGTAGCACATCATTTTGTCTGTGTCTGTGTGTGTGTGTGTGTGTGTGTGTGTGTGTGTGTGTGTGTGTGTGGTGGGGGGGGCTGCAGAGTGAGAGGATCAAAAGGAAGATGAAGTGAGAGAAAAGCAAAAGAGGAGAATCATCAGTTCATGACTCATATCTTTCCATGTTTCCAAGTTCCAAACCAGCTCTGCTAGCTAATACAACCAACCACTGACTAACCGCCGAGTCCACGCCCTCCAAAACACAAACACACTCTGGCTATGGCAACGAGGGAACAGAGAACTGGTGGGTGGATTTAAAATGACTAAACTAATCTGAAAAGACACTGAGGTCTTCCTCACCCAGCTGGTCTGAATTCAGATCCCTCAGAGGCTTCGCTCAACAAGTTTCTCCTGATAAAAGGTCTGGTTCAGCTTCGTCTGGTCTTTAATGTTAATACACGGTGGCCGAGACGACACAAGCAACGGAAACACAATCACAAAGGATGTGAGGGACAACAGACGTTGTACAATGAGCAGTCATTCGTGAAAACCCAGTCAAAATGTGATGCTTGTCTACTTGAGGTGTTACGGTACATTTTCAGACATTATGAAAGTTGAATCTTCACTTTATTTTCCCCAAACTAAGTGGAAATCACCATCATTGATCTGTTTTGGTTCCAATGCCTCAGACATTAACTGCAACTCTGAGGAATATCATTAGTTCTTATTTTCTGTATTCTTTTATAGCTGAGACAAATCGCTGTATTTAGAAAATACTACTTGTAATTATAAAAGGTGTTAATGTGGTTTGTCTACTTGGCTTTAAGCGAAAAAGAAGAAATTGTAGTTGCTGACTCCACCAGTGTGGACGTAGATTAGAGGGAGAGACATGTTTTATTTAGAAGACACAGATTAACTTGACTTATTTTGATTCATTGCTCAGTGTTAAATATTCATTCATTTACAGCACAGATGCAGCATTATGTGTTAAAAGTATTGTGCGACTGTATATCCCAAAGCTGTTTCGCAGGCAAACTTCACACAATTTAAAATCATCTCATGATCTGCAGTGCTACACGAACCACTTCATAATAACCCTGAACCTACCACTCATGGTAATCGGAGGAAATTCAAATTAATATTTGTGGTCTGCTGTTTGAACATAGCTGTGTAGTGTAAGTTGAAGCACAGACATTATCCTGGGAGGTTAACCCCCAACGTCACCGGTCTCAACCACCAATCGTATTTGCATTGCCACAAAAACAATGGGATGATTTCAAACACAGTCACCATGGAAACTGCCTACATCAACTCACCAAGAAACAGCAAAAGATCATAAAGGTACAAAGAATTTAATACTGCTCTTACCACGTCTGGGATTAGAGAGTAGTGATCCACACACATGCACAAAACAATGATTGAGTATTATGATAACAGGATAGTGGTGTGTGTGATCACAGGCTCAGCAGATCGACCCTCTGGACCGATTTATAAAAATCTAAGGCAAAAACACGACAAGGAAAGAAGATGAAAATAAGTTAAAGGGGAGGAGGAGTCTGAACAAGGAGGATTGTGAAAAATAAATAAATATAAGCTCAATTAAAAACCACAGCCTGTAGCCGAGGGGAAATCCCAAGATTCCACCGACTCCAGCAAAGATTTTAGCGATCAATGTCAACACCGCACATCTAATGAATTTGCCACAGGCACAAACACTGTCAACACCTACCTAACAAAGACGTTTTCCTTTATTGCCGTGATCGTTGGGTAATGTGCTCTTCTTCATTAGTAACATTGCAGCTGAGAGCGACAAGCAACGGATTTGACTTTGAAGTTTGCCGTTTTACCGCAAAAACCCTGTCTACAATTAGACACGCCAAAATAAACTATTCAGAGATACAAATCATTACAGGGAGGTTTGAGCTAATTGTTAAGAGAACCCTGAAAGTTATAGAGGGCTATAAAATATTTGCCTCCGCGCCGTTGACATGCTGTTCTCTCGGTGAGGGTCGCCCCCCGGCCGTTATTGATCAGCCATTCCAGGATGGGTGACAGGTAGGACAACACTGGAGGTCAAAGCAATCTCGGCTGCAAATGTAGAGGGATCATATGAGCTCATTTCCACGACTATGCAAGATGAAATGGAGGATCAATTATTTATATACTCACTTCTGTAGTGACTGGTGCAATGGAAGGGTCAAGAAATGATGCATGTTGTTGAAGTCATTACCTCTGACATCTTTACAGGGTTTTAAGCACAAGAGCAGTTAGGGTTGAACAGGTGACTGTATTGTGGGGCATATTAATGTTCACATTCTGCAGTGCTTTCTATTGCTTGTTCTTTAATTTGCCCTGAATGGCAGGTGTAGTGTTGACTAAAGAAATCGTCACTGAGCCAAACCGATATTGATTTTTGGGAGCAAACCTTCCGATACATACATTGGTCGTGATTTAAAATAAATTGTAAGTGATTCCTGAGACTCTTACGACAAAGAATTGAGGCTTGATACTTTACAAGCAAATATATTGAACTTGAATCACAGTTTAATCTGTAAAATAAATGTTTATATCAGCAGATACAGATTATGTTTGTGAATGGCTCATTATCTGACGATTTAACGGACGAACGCTGAATCAAATCTTCAGTTCTGGATGATAAACCTCACCTTGTGTATTTTCTGTGTATCTTCACGTGATTCACTTTACATTCAGGTGCAGCGCATGATTTCCACAGCCTCTTCACCTCTAAGCATTTCTCATGCTGGATATATTGGAAAGTGTCAGTGCTGTGAATGAGTTATTGGCCACTCTGCAGAGCATCGGGCTGCTCCGACTGTTTGACACTGCAGATGATAATGTTGCAGAAAGTAGCTGTAGATGACACAGAGGAGTGTGACTGTGAGAGACACACCAGCACCACGACGACAGTGCTGCTCTGCTGCCCTCGGTTACGGCAAGGTAGCTAACGGTAACGCACACGGATTCTTTCTTCTGTCTCATCCCTGCACCAAACGTTTATGGCGACTGTAGCATTAACTCACAAATGACGACTATTTCTATTAATTTTGAAAAAGAGATGCAACATTTTCAGGTTTGTGTAAAACTGCTGTATATTTGGTCGAAGGCACTTGACGTTCATTTCTTAAAGAACCCAGCTCCTCAAAGTTTTGGTTGATGGAAACTTCAGAGTCTGATAGGGATCATACCCACAAAACCTCAAGGAGCTCCACTAACACCCTGATTCTAAAAAGACATTTCACCAAGATCCTGTTAGATCCTGAGAGATTTCTTCAGGTGTTCGACTTCAAAAGTGCAGCATCCGAGGATTGAAGGCAACATTTCAGAGCTAAAGAGGCGTCCTTCAAAAAAAAAACTGAGCTATAAGAACAGACAGATTTGTCTTTGACTCTTCTTTGCACATTAGATGGCAGAAGATATCGAGCACCAACATTATTTGTATGACCACACATTAGATTCTGCTTTCAACAATTGCACAAAGTTTTCAAACACTGACTTTCAAACTTTCGAACCCTTTTTTCAGTTTTGGAACATTGGTATGATATTTATTCCATTGGACATAAAACTTTGTATCCTGTGGACGTCAGACATCTGAATGTACCAGGTGAACTCAAACTTGAATCCCTGAGCCTGAGCTGTCGATCATGTGTGATCCTTCTTCAATCCCTGTTTTTTAAAAGCATTTCCCTGACGCAGGACATATTCCTTCATTATACAAAACAAAAAAAAGGGTGTGGCAGGTCTTCAGTGGTGGGTGCAGCGTAACAGGATAATATGTGATAAAATGTCTCCCTCTTATGGAAAAACTCAGCCATTACAGGTCTTACTGGCTTCATTGAATTCAAGCTACAGAAGGTATGTTTTATATAAACACAGAAAAACACGTAACTACAAATTAACTTTCTTTGCACTGTAATTTCCCTGAGACGGAGGGACTTCATCCTTCCAGAAGAAGTAGGATCTCGTCATCCTTCACTGCATTTTGCCGCCTTTCTCTACCTCACACGTACACGCACTGCCACCAACACAGACATTTGTAAGTGAAGTGGGTCAGAGGGCGGAGGAGAGGAATTGTGGGGTCTGAATAGAAGGATGGAGCGATGAATGGATGGCTGAATTAATGAGTGGATAGATGGATGGATGGATGGATGCAGGAGAGAGGAAGATGTAAAGAGGTCGGAGAGCCACAGACTGGCAGCGCTCCAACATGGGCCAAGTGCAACATCCTCAAAGAAAAGTTTCACCACAGCACAGACAGTGACAGTCTGAGGGCCCATGAATATTTTAGGAGTTCAATTCAAGTAGTAAATGAAAATATACATTGATGCTGTTGTGACATTTATACAACATTATGTTCTAATGTTGTATTGAGGGTGTAATCATCTGCATTTATTTAATATACAATCATATGCTGAGCATTTATGACAATATATGTGTGTGTGATACATTTATGTATAATATTGAATGTATTAATGAGTGTTGGTGCTTTGTATTTAGAGGACGTCCTGCTCCACTTCTCTTAAAATAACAGCAACAGAGCCATTACCTAATACAAGGTTTACTGGCCTTCACTGTCGCACTGATGGTGACAAAGCAAAGTGTGTACGTGTGTGTGTGTGTGTGTGTGTGTGTGTGTGTGTGTGTGTGTGTGTGTGTGCACGCGCACACAACATCCTTGCAAGGCTTCACGGCCTGTTTCATATGGCTGGAACATTAATGGAAAACCTTTTTCATAACAGGAACAGATTCCTTACTGAGATGGATTGAACTTTGTGTGTGTGTGTGTGTGTGTGTGTGTGTGCGCGCGCACACCCATTTGTCTTGTTACCAGTTTAAGCTGCCAATGTAATCACCATGAGAAAGACTCTGGAAACGAACTCGCTAACCTTCACAACACTGTCACCCCCCCCCCACCCTGGCAACTTTTAGACACACACACACACACACACACACTTTTAACTGTCTTTACATTTCTTATTCTTTCAATTACATTTACATTTTCATCGTTGGTGCATCATGAGCCTTACATGCCAGATATAAGCATGTCCCTGGAGTAGGTGTCCAGGACCCCACACAGCATGTAACACAGCACACATACCTCTCTGCGACGTCATGGCCGCTCCAGCACGTGTGCTGCTCGACCTCCATCTCACTCTCACACAGCATCTCTGGCAGCTCTGAGAAAAACCACTGGTACCTCTGGATAGATCCCTCAAACTCCCTGGAGGAGAAAGAGAGTGGTGCACAGTTGAATGCTTGAGTTGCTGCAGAGACGGAAGAGTAAAGACCAACGTAGCATATGTTTTATTTGTTCTGATTAAGACTTTTCATGCCAAATTGCCTGTGAAATCCCTGCTGATAGACTCTGGTAAAAAACTTAAAACAACATGGGAAGGGATAGAGAAGCTCTGAGCACTTTATATTAGATTTAAACAATTCTATAAAGAATTAATACATTTAATTAAATGTGATGTTTAATAATGTTTTTTCTGAAAGTCAATTTTGATAAAAGACAGAGAGGGGTGAGAACACAAAAACTAGTTAACTTTGCATTTCAATTGTTTGTTGCAACCATACTATCACCTTTAAGTAACATATCCCACAGATGTGATCAGTTTCAGTTCACATCATAATCAATAGTTACATTTAGTCTGTGTTTGTTGGTTTTTTATGAGTTCATCTGTATTTCGTTGGTACACACCTTTCCCACCATGTGGACACCTGAAGGAGGAAGTGGCCCAACACTTCCTGTATGTATACCTTTGATGACATCAGCAGTGTTGTCACCAGGAGCAACCACATGTGAGGGGAGGTGTCGTAGGTTTGGTAAAAAATGATTTGCCACTCTGGTCAGACTCCCCACAATAACTATTCAGTTTGGGATAGATGAAACATAAAGTGTGGTTTTGACCTGCCTGCCTTTACGACTGGTGATATTAGTGTTGTCTAATATTTGATATCTGATATTTATGATGTTTTTATGATGCAAAAAAAGTTATTTAAAACCTCACGCGTCCAAATCACACCAAATTCAACACTGCACTTCATTGGGACCTTAACAATACACATGGCATGACACATATGTTCCACAGACAGATATACAGAGTTTTCTGGAATAGTACACAGATTATAGACAAGGGTATGGGATGTAGAAGAGATTCATTTACCTCGACAGTTTTTTTAGGCTTCGACTCTTGTCACCTCTGGAACCTTTCAGAGGGAACAACCTAAGGGAATAAAAACACCCCCCCCCATGTTTATTTCTGAACCCACATGGCTCCACATACATTTACATACATTTGATCAGATTGAACTCACCTCCTGGATTGTTGTTGCAGACGTTGATGAGAGACTGATGGAGGTGAGGTCACAGTCGACCTCTCTGAGGTCAGTGATGTCACGGGGGTCACTGAGGCTGTAACATGGGATGTGGTGGGTTTTGAACTTGTGATCACGGGACCAGGCTCCTGTGGACCACACACCTTCTCGACCTGAGGAGCACACCGTTTGCATGGTTTGTATAGGAATCTTTATTGTCAACTTGCATGGACTCGCTAAACGGCTAACTGGCTAACTGGCTAGTATTACATTGTTTGCTCTCGAGGTTATAGCAGCGTAGGGAAAAATAAAATAAAATAATAAAATTGTGGATTTCTCCGTGTTTGAAACATTGTGGATAATGTAAGCAAACAAGTCGACACAGTATATAACATCGTTTTTAGACATTTAAAAGAAGAATTGTAAAATTTCTTTGGAGGTTCAGTTTGTGGAATTTAGTGATATCTAGTGGTGAAGTTGCATATTGCAGCTGAATACCCCTTATTTCACCCTGCTCTTCCAAACATGACAGAGAACCTGTGGTAGCTTCAGTTGTCATAGAAACCCAAAAGGTTTAGTTTGTTCAGTCTGGGCTAATGTAAAAAAACACGGCGGCGTCCACAGAGAGGTCCCGCTCCTGATGTAAATATAAAGTATTTAAATATAAAGGACTTATTCTAGAGTACAGAAAACAACAATTCGTATGATTTAGATGAAACACACTAGTGAAAACATCAGTAGTATTATTTGATAGTCATTTTCTGCCATTAGATCCCTTTCACCTAAATCTTACACACTGGATCTTTCAAGGATTGGAGGTTACAGCCTTCAGTGATGCATCTAATGAATAAGAAGCTTGATCAAATATTTAATGAAGTGGCATTTTCTTATTAGCCACAATTAGCAGTGTGCGTCTGCTTGTGTGTTTGTTTACCTCTCAGGAATCTACTCTACTAAGTCCACAATGTTCTCTCTAAGTTTGGACAGCTACGCCACTTCTTCCTCCAACAGTGTGTGCATGCATGCGTGCGTTTGTGTGTCGTCTGTTTGTCCAGAGATTAGCCACAGAAACTTTCTCATCACTTAGAACCAAGCTGCATTCTGGGTATCGGTTGTCCCGCCAACGACAGTCTTTGTCTGGCATTGGATCTGTATTCACACACACACATGCAGACTGAGGGGAACCCCAGATTTTCTGAAGAATGAGGCTGTTTTTAGCCCATCTAGGTACAAGGCCTTTGTGAGAACATCCAACTGCCAGGCTGAACGAAACCCACGGCCTCGTCGCTCTGTGTCCAACATTCAAATGACATTCTCATTGGGGCATATGAGCGGGAATGTCTCAGTAAAATGTTAGCGCTAGATTTAGCTTAGAGCTGTTTGACGATTGTATTTCACAGGGGCGGAATTACTTTTAAACAACACACAAGGCCCAACAGTCGCCTTATGAAAATCTGGATTTTTATTTGGATCTCAAATAACACACACAGATATCAGTCACCTTAATCCGCAAATTATTGTCTGAGAAATTAATGAATAACTTATGTTGAACCAAGAATGTGTTGCTTCTTCCTTTGGCCCTGTGCCACCACTACAAAACAAATACCATCGAAATCGGTTTTATAGTTTTTGCCTTAAGAACCACTTTGTTTTACGTCGCCTCTTTCCCATCATCCCCTCTGCTTACCGTGGCTGTGACGCGTGGCCCGTGCAGCTGAGCGTGAAGTATGGCGTCGTTCACATGGTTTCGGACCGCGAGCAGAGCCAACTCCATGCTGTTGTGATTGCTGCTGGTCGCTAAAGTAGCGGCTAGCCGTTGGAGCAATACCACCAAGCTCCCCCAGGGGGCGCCGAGTTCTGATACACCGACCTAATAAAGTCAGGAGGAGAAATGCCAGAGTGCAGAAATTGAGACAAATAAGGAGGACTAGTTTAATTTTCTAAAATGTATGTAGATGTTTTGGTGCAGAACAATATGTAGGGATTTAGTTCAGATTTCTTGATCGTAACTGCAGCTAAGACTTTAAGTTGTGCAAGAATTTTCTGTCATACAAAAAATATAAACCAGTTTCTATGGTCAAGACCACATTTCCCATGAAGTAAATTGTTCCTTTCACAGTCGGAATGTTCCTCCGTTGCTCTACTGACGACAATCAGCATGTTGGGAGTTTATTCATCACACTTTCTTCTGCTTCCAAGAAACTTTCACACAGGATGAACACTGACATCTTCCAGTTTTGTGCTGTAATGAAGTCTCTCTATTGTGGCCACTCTCAAAGCTGTCCAGCAAAATTCAAAGCAACCCAGAAAGATGCATGGAAGAAAATGCCAGTTCTCTTGGCAATGCTTTATCATTCGTCATTCTGAAACGTAATGTGGGAATGATCTATTGAAGATAAATGCTGTGATTTACTGATTAAATACTGGGAGATATGAGCGCATTTTGTTTGCCTCTTGAGTGGAGGGAAAGAAATTCTCCCTGTGGCCTCCCCATGCATCTAAAAGAGTGTCAGCTATGACCTGAGAATAAAATCGAATGAACTTTTGCTACTTCGATTATTCTTCTTAGAATAAATAATTCTTCATAAGACTTAAAAATAACTCATCATATATTAAAAACACAACCAAGCAGTAAATGCACAAAGCATTGAACCACTCACCAGACATCCTCTCATTACGTTAACACACAGTCCGGTACAGGGCCGGATCAAAGTCAGCCCCCTGCAGTGGGAACAGTACTGCATCCTCACTAAGCCTCGCCCACACTCTCTGGATAACGACGCCTTCTCGGTTGCGTTCACCACCTCACCGGCCAGTCTGAGCAGTCTGCTCAATGCTCGGCCGACCCCGAGCGCACGGGACAGGCTGCTGACCAGAAGGCGAGGATGGGGTCCAAACGGGCTGACGTCCTGCCTCGTCAACCGCAGGCAGTCATCGTGGGTGGTGGAGGTGGGGGACTGGAGAGACATGTGGCCGATCCCAGGGTTGAGCAGACGTCGGTAAACCAAAGGGAAGAGATCATTGTAGAATCGACGTACGGTGTTCTCCAGTGAGGAATTCGATTCTCCGGAGAGGTGGCGTTTGATACCGTTGAACAGCTGAAACACAAGGGGGCGACAGTCGGAAACCAGGGTGGAGTAGGCGCTGTCGAACAGGGAGCTGGTCAGGTTAGACGTGAAGAACACGAGCGACTCAAAGGTCTCTGGAACAAGGGAGAAAGACAGAAGGAGGACAATCAGCCATAAGAACAAGTCATGAATGAAAGTAATATGTGTTAACCATAGAGTGTATATAAAGATGGACGCCACGTGTCCCACTACCAGAGAAGAAGCCTATACTGGAGCCAGCCACCAGGGGGAGCTGTCATGTCTTCCATCTTTATATTAAGATTTGATTTTGTGTGGATATCCAGTTTGATGACCTGTCATCACACTGGGCCAGGAAATGATTGAGCAACAATCTCAGTGAGCTATAGTTTACGTGGTTAATCCAAAATGAAATTGAAACCTTGCACAATCATCAAGTATTGAGGTACTTTCTTCAGTATTGCCACCGACTGCATTTTTATACATGTACCCAATTGTACCCACAAACATTTTTTTTTATCTGTTTAAGACCTTGGTTACACTTCAGATTTCAGGTTTCACATAAAAACACACGACAAACCATGATTAAACCAGGAGTTTGTAAACATCAAATAAAGTAGTTAGAACTAAAGAGGAACGTCCTCTGTCGACTTCTGCTTTAACTTCATTAAACGTTCAAATTATCCAATATTTCACAAACAGCAAAGATAAGAGAGAAACAAAGATGCAGTGAAAACAGATTTCTGTATCAGAACTTTGTTTCCTTCCATTAATCATCTCATGACTGCTAATTTTTATCTTATGACCCAAACATCAGGGCGGGAGGAGACTGTACGTGACATAGTTAAAAACAAGCTCCACTTCAATCAGTCAGATAAATATATAAATACATCGGTTTTCCTTGTCTTTGTCTGAACGACCTTGTTTTGAGTTTATAGATCACATCATATTTCATCTCTGTTCTTTTTCACCACTCTGTTATCTATAGTCAGGTGATAATGAGACGCTGATCTCATGATCCACTGTGTTTCCTATGTCCGACAGGGTCCAACAAAGAAGCACCCCCACCCCTTCAAGGAGGCTGTAAACCACTGTGCGTGTGTGTGTGTGTGTGTGTGTGTGTGTGTGTGTCAGGATGCCAGCGGATTGACATCACGCTTTTTTTTTAACTTGGCAACTTTCAAACATAGCCACACACACACCTATTTATCTGTGACTTTCAATGTGCATGTGTGTTTATGTCATCTTCATCTTTACACTCTCACAGCTGCAGCCACCTGACTCTGTGAGTGACGGCAATTTATTAGAGAATTTATGAACAAAACACACAAATGTTTTAAATAATGCAACAGGGATTTGGAACAAACTCCCACTAGATGCTAAAACTGCTCCAAACTGAACTTTTATCACCTAATTACTTCTAATTTAATAAATTTAACAATATCTTTTATTTATTAAAACTTAAACTTAGTTTTTAACCCTTTTTTATACATTTTTATTGTTTCTAAAATCGTTCCTCGTCTTATTATGATCCATTTTAGTCCTCTATTATCCTTAAGCACCTCAAGCAGCATTTTGAGCTACGAAAAGTCCTATATAACAAACGATTTCATTATTATTGGTTGGGTAACAAGGTTTTACAGCAGCACCGAGCGAGAGCGTCTCACTTTCATGTGTTTGCATACCCATGTCCTGGTGACAGCAACTCAAACACAAACGGCATCGAGTGACAAGGCAAAGACCGCTCCGCTCGAGGGTCATGTGATTGGCTCTTTCCCCCTGGTGTCTTTCCCCCTGTCGTCCAATCGACGACAGCTGCGACGTGAAGAAGAGGGCACACAAGGGTCTTACAGTGTCAGGAGAGACACACGCAAGCTCGCAGACACACACAGTAATCCAGAGGGTGTAAATGGAGCCTGGGCATGTCTCAGTTTCTCTAGTGGCTCATAATCACGGTGTTTGGAGAGACATTCCTTTAAGGTTCAGCTCAGATGCTAAATCAATTTAATTTCTTGCATCATAAAAAAAAATTCAAAACGTTCTCTAAATTCAGTTTCAAATATTTAGCAGAGAAGATTTAGTTTTAACTGCTCCATGTGGGAGGAAATAGTTTCATCTGATTATGAACAACACAGTGAAGTCCAGTTGAGGTTAAAACCAGATATCACCGTATCAGGATTTTGTTATTTGGGTAAAATTACAGTTTAGATTCATTTTAATTTCACTGTAAATTCTCTTCTCTTTGTCTGCAGGTGTTTTGCAATAATTTCACCCCTCGATGTTTTAACAGCAGCTGAAACTGAGCCTGGGAGCGTTGATGAAGACGACGATGAAGACAGTGAGAGATAGAGAGACACGGAGGTAAATGTTTGCCGTGTCCGTCTGCCGGGTTTCATCAGCTCCATCCGTCTGGTAATCTCCACACTGCACACACACACATTCATGGAACACATACACACAAGGTCTGTGTCCCTCACACACATGCTCACACAGACTGGTGAATAGCGTTGAGAGACAAGTGGACAAGCAGAGTATTCTTCCTCCTATTCAGAGCAGCCGTTAGAGACCGGCTGTTGCCCACAGCAACAACACTCGGCTGCGGATACGTGCTGAATGTAAACATTCTCCGTCCCTCGCTCTCTCATTGGCCAAGAACAAAACCTGATTATTGCAGCGACAGAGACAGACAGACGGAGAAAGGGAGCAGAGAGTTGTGACAAAGTTTTCCGCTGCTCCCTCTGGGAGTTTGCTCTCACATTCAATCGAACATCAGTTGTTTGTTTGGCGAGCCACCGCGGCGCCTCACAAAATAAACTGGCCCCGCACCACCACCCTGACACAAACTAGCCATTTCATGATGAACGCACAAAGTGAGAATGACGGGGGGGGGACACAGGCACTTGACAGAGTTGTTAAAACATCAAAATCACCACAGCTATTAATGTCACTTTGATTTTGGGTTCTCTGATCAATTCTCTGATTTCTTCTTCTTTTATTAATAAAGCGACGGCCCTGACAGAGTCCAGGAGGTTGATGAGAAAATAAAAAACTAGAAAAACACAAAGTGAAGCACATACCTCCGACAAGGTCCCCAATAATTCAATGTATCCGCACCGAATTTTGCACACTCAAAGATATCACTTCCCGAAACATGTCAGATTATTTTTATCACGACCCGTGAATTATTTTCTGGGGAAATTGGTGAAAATGGGAAAAATCTTGCAATGTTGGATCTGCTCTTTGTCCAGATCTGGACAGCAGAATTAAAACAGCTGCACCAAGTTACACACACTCAACAAACCTTGGCCTAATTGATTTTGGTATTTTTGCTTTAAAAGTAAGCCACCTCTTAATACTCAAGAAAACAAACTTCCATGAGGAATGAATAATATCTTCTGGCTCTCCCCTCCCCTCACCCCTTCTACCACTTGCTTTTTTGAATTTCCTGGACAAATAGAAAACATGTTTTTCAAATTCCCATTACACTTACACAACACCACAGCAACAACATTTCCTCCCTCCACACCTCTCTCTCCTTTACCTTGGTATGTCTTGGTGTGTCCAGCGATCAGGTACTTGAGTTCGAAGCTGTACGACTGCATCTTCTGCTGCGTCTCGCTGCGAACTGCCGCCATGTAGCTGTCCTCCATCTTACTCGTGCAGCAGGTGGGCCCGGGGTGGACGCACACTCGGAGAGACTCGTCTGAAAGACACGGACGTGGGAAAAGGCTTCAGACCCGATGACCTCACTGCAGTTCTGCGGTCACAGAGACGTTGAATCTCATCCAACACAAAATGTTGAGTGGAAGAAAATGTGTAATTGCGTCTGCACAGGTTTTTGTATATTTTATTCACGTTTTCAAATATATGTATATATCTTAAAAACTGTTTTAGCTTTTCAAGAATAAAGACTCCGATCAGATTCCATCGTTACGCACACACACGTCTCAGAGTTAATGATTTTGTCCTTAAAGTTTAATCTTTATGAAAATAAATGAAATAATCTGATGAGGGAGCTGTGATGTAAAAGTATTTAGTGCATCAGGTTTTATGGCTTCACTAAAATGATGTGTGTCTGTGTAGCAGCCTGACTGTTGTAAGCAAACCTGTCAAGCAGCTGACTGAGATCAAGGGGGAGAGTGAGAGTCTATGTGTGGCCTGACACACACACACACACACACACAATGTCAAACTCTGAGCTATTCTTATTATCCCTGTCTGAACATAGAATACGTGACTGAGACAGTTTATTGGTGATTGTATGTCCTCGTTCACAATGAGGGGAGTGGGTCGGTTGGACGTCTGGCTGCACCCGGACTTTAAGTCATGTGCGAGGAAGCTTCAATGAATCTGTTTTCTGGAAATTTGTGAAAATTATTCCGGAAACATGTGTACAGTCAGGTGCAGTAACTATTCATGTAGATGTAATAAAGAAAGAAAGAAAGAAAGAAGATAATTAACTTACGGCTCAGAGCAGATCAATGAATGTCAGATAAACCTGGTGCAAAGATTCTGCTGCTGTAACCAACTATAATTAGCAGACGACTCTTCACTGAGGTCACAACTTAACTACCTGTTAACAATCACAAGCACTGGACGCACTGCCCCTCAGCACAGTAATAACAGTAGATGAATCTAACTGTGACTTTTTCTTTCTCTTGCAGCTGCATGAGCTCCATCAGAGATCACCTCAAGGCTGCAGGTTATAGAATATTAATAACAGAAGTGGATTTTTTTGAAAGTATTGTTGAGATTCGTCTTCATCTATAACAGTGCTAATTATAGCCGTGCATACATCGAGAGATCTATATGTGTCCCTCAATAATTAGGTTAGTTTTCAACAGAAATAGCTTCTCTCCATGAGGTGCTCGCCTGTGCAGCCCAGTGATGAGCTCTGATATTTGGAATTCGGCCCCTGCAGATCATGAGCTGTGGATCTGAACGTCTAAACCCTGTGTGAGCTACAAGCCACAATCATATCAATTATAGTTATTTTGTTAAAGCAGGAGAAGTAACAACGTTAATTCAACACTGCTGCTTTTAACAGTGATGTAGTATTTGGAACGTTTACTGAACTGGGCAAATACAAGAATATAACATTTTACTATTTGCAAAAATAGTCAATTACATGTCAAATACTCAAAACCTCTAAAGTAAAAAGTAGGTATTGTTAGCTAAATGTACTTGAGCAGTCACTCAAATATAATAGTTCTTT